ACAGATTACCGAAGAGTACATGTGAAACTACGGAAACAACTAATGGAAACTCACATTCAACGTCGACATGTTCTACTTTTTATTTCTCACATTTTATATCCCATTTTTGGAATGCGCGAAACGACAATTATGCACCTCGAACAGCACGATACTGTTCTTATACGCGCTGATAATATCTTTAAACTTTGTTAGTCGACCCTGAAATATGCACATGGATGATCCACGAGCAGTCTATAAGAGCCTCGAGGTCTATTAACAAATGATGCAAACAACTTCAATGAATTTATCTTCTCTGTCATTGATATCGACCATGTGACAGCAAGATCGATTGCTTACGTTGACGTATACGCGCTTACCTCTTGCCATCTAATAGACTGTAAAACACAGAAGCGCGATTATCTAATTCCCAATTAAATTACAGGTACAATTAAAAGCTGCGCTACATGTCAAGCCGCTATATTATATGTGCGTGTACGCGCGCGCTTCTTTCTTCTCTACACACGCGCGAAATTACGTGATTTATAATTAGAGACTTAAAACATGCCCGCGCTGCGGTATGCGTCATGAAAAAATTGCACACTTAATTTCAGCTAATCACAGCGTCAAACGCTCTGAAGAAACAGCGCCATTACATTTTACTGCACTCAGTTTTTAACTCGGATAATAGCGATATCCCCTGGCGTAAAATAAAATGCAATGTAGCGTGACACGTCATAATAAATATCTTCATGGGTTAATGCTCCCGATTGATGCCTTACCCAGGCGCGATTAATCGGTCCCGATAAACAAAGGCAGATTTAGCCATCGAGTTTCCGCAAAAGAAGGATCGCGACCGTGAGAACACGACTTTCCGCTTCGGGCGCGGGTGTTAGTTATGCGCGCGTCCGTAAAAGCGGAATGCTTTCGTGGGATATCGCCGCGAGGATTTTACGTCCTCGCGGATGGAGAGAAGGGGCCGTGAAGGACCGACGTAACGCTTTATTTAACACAGGAAACATTTCTTCGCGCGCGCGCGCGAATAGAGAGAGAGAGAGAGGAAGGGTAAGGAGGGAGGCGGGAGGGAGAGAGAGAAGCGCTTCTCCGATGAGCGCGCTCGATTGCCGGCTGGAGTTATTCTTATCGAGAGAGATCGAAGTGGCGAAATGCGCTAATCTCGACGAGCGATAGTAGAACGGCGCATACGCAATCGATAATAGATTAGGGTCTCTAGCCTGTGTACAGTGATCTTGAGACATGAAAGTTCTTTCCGTCCACGGCGCGGTGTAATCAATACGAGGAGAATGGTTTCTCTGTTAAGAGAAAGGTTTCCCGGCAACATTCGCGCTGATCTCGCACAAGCAATGACACTAATATTTAATGAACCAACACGTGGCTCCGTCTCAATGAGAGTTTGATGCGGGGCGCTACGTGGCAATTCTGTAAAATTTCAAAACTTGGATTTGCCGGAGTCACGAACGCGCTTTCATACCAAAAGGTGAGCTAGAATCGTGGAGAACAGGGCGATCAGTTCGAGGAACGCGAGCGGCCGAGCGGATTCCTTTCTCTCGCTACAGAAAAGCAAAACGCCTCGGCACGAGGCGATCTCGCTGCACTCTTTGCCCTCCATCGTCGTCGCTAAGACCGGTAGATTCCTCACGCGACTGTGAGGAACATTTCATCTGCAGGCAGAGGCGACGGCCATTTAAGGAAGATACACACTGGTCTCAAGAAAAATGCGCGCACCCGCTGTTCTCGTATTCAAGATTTTGTCAGGCGGAGTTTCTACAAGATTTCTTTTTCCGACACAGATCTTGCTCCTAATTATTGACTTTACGTAAATTATCTCGCAAATACATGTCCAATAAAAAAAAATATGTCCGATCCTCGCGTTTTATCGAAGACATTTTGAATCTATTTCTTTATAGCATCGCGAAATATTGTTTGAATTGAAAGAAATGTTCTCACTTTTACTCCCTTTTCTTATAGCACTGTTAATATATTTTCCGAATATTTTCCTCTATAAACGGAGTTTGGTATTTCAACTTTTCTTTCATCAGAGATACAAATGTAAGATAAAGCTTCAATTTATTCAGTAAAGTGATACCGATGCAGATACAATTTTTATGAATTTCTTTGACTTTAGATATAGACATAAGATGCACTCATTAGTTTTCCCGAGTGCATTTGACTGTATTTGTATCGGTGTCTTTAAAGAAAGAAAGAAATCAGGCTCTGTCTACGTTAATTTTCAATGAGAACTTCCCGAAGACCCGCATAGTCGGGGCCGCTTTCGGATTAGTATAATCGATGAGAGAAAATCTAAGGAACGGTGCCCGGTGCGGTCAAAATTCTTTCCGACATTTTTTTCTCCCCTTACCCCCACGTCCGAAGAAGCGAAAACCTGTTCTAACAAAAAGCACGATGCCCGACCTCGGGCAACCCCCGCCGCTCACCTGGTCACAGCGATAAATCAACCACCAACGTCGGGGAGAAGCGTCACAGGCTTAAAGGGAATAGCATAAACCGGAGGCGATAGCGCTTTCTAATCTCGGTCTTCGTTACTCAGCAGCATTTCGCACGCTAAATACCAAGGCGCGTTTATTATGCACCGCATTACTTTTCGCATTTCAGATTGGATTTGTCATTCGCCGTGGAAAGATGACAATGCGCGTTTTACTGTGCGACTGCGTTTTCAAATTATTATAATATCCTTGTATTACGTGTCGCTGACACGATAATTTTCCTCCTATACTACTCGGCTGACAATTAACTGTCGTTGAAAGATACAATAGACGGTCGTGATACGTTAGGAATATTCCGATTTCGGCTTCGGTTAATATAATTCAAGACTGTGTGAAGCAGCTGATAGCGATCTGTTAGTGACAATTGAGTTATCATCCAAAGATGGTGCAATAATTCTTTTGGAAAGAATCGATTGCTTTGCATAATTTATTTATTGATAAACAATTTAATTATTCATTATTAATTTATATTTTCCATGTAGCAATAATTCGTACCAACTGTTTTTTTTTCAATTTCACAACAATTGTATTAATTTTATATTGCAAGCCTCTCGTCTCTTTGATAAAAAGTGCAGTTCTTATCGAACACACTGCATCGAAAGCTTTTCACATAATCGTAATCGTGCGGCTAATGAAACATTATCGCGGTAAATCAAACACATGCTGTTATTCCTGCAATCGTGCCACCTGATTTAGACTAGAATTTAGGTCTCCGGTAATGGAGGCTCTCTCGCTGGCAGTTATTGATTTTCGTTTCGGAAAGAAATCTCGAAGGCCCGAGGAACACTCCGTCTTCCCGTATTTATTAATGCATGCACAGCCAGCGAAATATTCGGCAATCTTTTATTGCCCAAGTCGCGCGTTTTGCAACTCGATTAATCAATGAAAATGTAGCGGCAAACCAACCCGAGATTCTCTATCAATACTTTCATTTTTGAAAAACTGGAAGATAGAAGATCGATTATCTCGATTGTATTAAAAAGCAAATAAAAACGAATTAACTGCAGATAAATTATTACTTGAAAAATCGCATTAATTATTATTTTGCACCAGTTTTTGGGAGGAAGACACTACCTAACTGCGTGTTAAGATACGACGAACGTATCGAACTTGTTTTTGCCAAAAAGATGCCATGTTTTGGATAGGATGTCAGGTTAGTGTTGTTGATTCTCACACGATGTCTCCTCCCCGTACGAAGCTCGCGTTTAAAGTTATGCTCAGCGAAATTGAAGAATCTGTTTCCATCAAAGCTGTTGAAAACAGCTAATTCATCAAGATGATATACGTCTTGAAATAAACATCTCCAGAAAACAGGGAAGCGATTGCACGTATCCTCGTATCAAAGTGCTCATCGTGGGGAGAATAAAGAGTCCTTTAGAAGTGAGAATAATAGCCGGCATAATTAAGCGCAATGGAAACGTCCGTAGGATATGTATTCAAACGAGATTAAAAAAGAATAACGGTGAGAAATAGAATTTTCCCTTCAGCCCAAGAGTCTTGTATCGTACAAACGAGACATGCGTGTTATGTAAATGGATGACCTATATTCGTGACTGTACGGTGCGCATTTATGGGTGTGTAGCAACGTGGACACAACAATAATTACATAATCCCTGATTTATTGTTTGATCTTGTCGTTACGCAACGGCGGAAGTCGCGCCTTGAGCGACTTTTCCGGATTAATGTAAATGTAACGGGTGAAATCGGAACGGGTTGGCAGCTTTCCTGGACCGCTTGTACCCCCCCCCCCCCCGGTGTATGTGTTACCGCGGGAAAAAGACACGCTCGCTCCAAATGTCAAAAGTTTGCGCGCTTGATGCTCGAGCAATGTTAAAACGGAGCCGGATCACAGTTTCGCACGCGCAACCATAAACTCGCGCAGCGGTCGACATCGTTCCCGCAATTTCCCCTGATTGTATAACCGAGACATTTTCAACTACACGAGTTCCTTGGTTGATATATGCAGTTAAGTCACGTCAAGCGAGACTCGGAGATATCATGTACGGCCGGGAAGATAATCCAGATAATTTTGTGTGTAAACTGCCGTGTCGCGCGGGTTAATGCGCAATCTTAAGTAGTGATTAAAGTTCTTGCAAGATTTACAAATTATTACTATGGTTTATTGAACTTCAACCCGCCTGATGCACTTGCGGGCGCTTGAGAGGCGCGTTTCACATCTATCTTCGAAATTCCTACGGGTCTTTAGACTCGAGAAAATGGAGCAGCATCCCTAATCGTCTTCCATCTTTCGCGCCTCCGATCATGGAACCGTCTGACGGGCGAGAGCACCCGGAGAGACTTCGGTTCGGCACGACCGCGCATCGTGCCGAACTGAAACATCCCCTTGAAGCGCAGCGTCGATCCCCCCCGAGGGACTAGAACGGCGGCGCGCGAGAATCCTCGGCGCGCAATTTTATTTACGTCAGCGGAGGCCTGCCATCTTCCTCGGGGATGCGCACCTAGGGGCTATCTAACATTGCCGAGTTGCGCCCGCGATACCTTAACGTAGAGTTCCCTCGTAGTCATCGCGATCGGTCCTGGTGTCGGGCACCTGGATCAGGTACAAGCTGGGTCAGGAGGTGCCACACGGGTCAGGTACAACACGGTAACACGCGCGTACCACACACCGTACACATGCACACGCGCGGCGAGGACGACGGAGTGTCTACCGCGTTGGCCGCATGCGATCGAAAGCCGCACGCGCTATGAGCACCGTCGACTTCATCGGGTCGTACGCATTGTCACCTGGCGAGATTTACGGCATGTTTGTTTCCCTTTTTTCTTCCTTCCCGTCCTCCCTCGTCCCTCGACCCCCACGTTTCGCCTCTTCTCGGCGCGGTTCCTCGTGCTACCCCGGGCACCTCCGCGTCCTCCGTGCCGCGAGTGGTACCAGTTCGCGATTTATTCCCCAGGACAGGCTCCGACCTTCCAGGAGCGATCCGGCACGGGCCCCACCAGCGAGAGCGAACTCTCGCGAAGGTCGTACCTCCACGTAAACGACGGCACTGCCGCCGCCAGCTGGCTCGTTATCGGGTTTAGATTGCGCGCCCCTCTCCGGCGACCTCGACGCCCACCTTCGTCGGCCCGCGGTGCGGGTGACATCGATATCTCGCTCTGACGCTCGTCGGCGATATCGCGCGGTCCTCTTTGAAGAATCGAAGACCAACGCTGGCGACGCTCGACACGGAGCGGCCTCTCGAAGAACGTTCGCGGCAGGTAGAGGAGAACGCCGCTCCATGGATATTCTTGCGCCAGAATCAGACTGGCAGTTTCAAGTAGCGTGAAGATGTAAACCGTCGGGTACAAATGTATATTGCTAAAGCTTCGGGAAAAGTGTGTTGGATTCTTTCCAATGTTTTTGATATTATCGTCACGGTTCGGAAAAGCAGCAGACGCTGTGATAAGCGTGATAACGAGCATGGGTTTCACCTTAATTTGACAATTGCAATTTGCGCAATTGGAACTTGGCCGCCGGTCTCCACAGATTCCGCAATACTCACGTCAATTTTTCTGCTTACGTATGTCACGATGCAAAATAACAATATTTACGATCAAAGCGGAAACTGCTTTGTGCACATTGCGCGCATTGAAATTTCTGACAAACCAGGACTGGTAACACGGTTTTATCATCGCTCGTTCATGCGCCGACGCCTGCCTCCGTGATCATTCGCTGGTAAGCTTGGAGCTCCAGTATATCAGACTATGTTACAGAACGTTTGCGTCCCCGCCTCTGGAGGAAATCTTTCCTGCGCGTACAATGTCCCATTTCCCCTCAAAACTGAAATAAAATCTTGAAGGAATTAAAGCTGAACTGTTCGCGCCAAAGCAGAGTGTAAAAAATATATTATAAAAATTATCTATTGTATTTCGTTACTTATATTACTCCAATTACAATATAAGGTGCGTTTCGTTCACGCATGATATGCATGAAGCATCATTAATCCTTCTTTAACATTTGGTGAATAACAGGGATAAATGATGCATCGTGCGCATCATGCGTGAAACGGAGCGCACCTATAGTGTTGCAAACAGCTCGTTTATATATTTATTAAAACATAAACAGCGAAGAATCAGAGTGCGAGCGAGTGCGAGCTGCTGAAAACTTCAGACTATGCCTGGGATCACCCAATGTGACGTTCAGTGACATTTTCATCATATCGTTAATTATTAGCTAGGATTAGTCGATATAATTTATAAGAGGCGCGTGAGCGTTTCGGCATGAAATAGAATCGAGGATTGGCTAAAGCAATTGAATGAGACAATGGCATTTTTTCAATTGGTTCTCAAAGCCAGAAAGCTCGAGAGAGCTAGGTTGAGATACGAAGATGAGAAATTGAGATCGATCGAGATCTCCGAGGGTGTTGAGCCACGTCTGACTTTCAGGCAGCGTCTTCGACGAAGGAGATTAAAGTGAGCCTGCCATTAGCACCTTTTAACCCATTACTGGCCGATCAATATTAATTTTACGCTTAATTCTACTCCCTAATATTTATTATATCACGCGTATCTTACCTTTTCAAAAAAGAAACCAACGCTTCTCTCTCTCTCTCTCTCTCTCTCTCTCTCTCTCTCTCTCTCTCTTCGCTAGCCTTATCCAAAATTTTGATAGTACTTTTTATTTTATGCTCCACGATATGTATTCTACAATGAAGTTACTATGTGTAATCATATCTCAATAGATGCAGAAAGAAGCTCAGGCACTTTTGGAGTCGAATAATTTCCTCCATAACGCATACGTGGGTTTGCCGAAAGGTGAGACTTCTCCGTACAGACGGTTCGCTCGAGAACTACATTCTAAAGAGCGTGTTTGGATTCTTGGGCGGCATATTACTCACGTATATGTTCTTCGTGTTCTTTGTTATTCAATTGAGCTTCACCCTCTCGTCCGCCACGATAATGTGCTCGGTTCTTGGAGTGGTCCTCACGCTTGGTTTAGCGTTTTCTTATCGTATAAGGTAACTTCGCGTCAACTCCTCAGTGATACAAATACGAAAGTTGCACCACATGTAAAGTATATTAAGAATTTTAATTAGAAAAGATGAAAATCGTATATCGATATTCTTTATTTTTACCGTGTATCATAGTTTTATCTACTTTATCGCATTCCTCTACAAAATGTGAACATTCACACAGGTGTATTGTATTTCTATTGCTGCCGCAATTCTTTTCTAAACGTGGCAGACAGGCCTTGATGGCCTATGCCTTTATTCTAACACTTACCGGACCGGCAAAGAATGTCTTGCATAATATCAGTATCCTTTCGGAGTCTTTAGTCTGCGGACAGGTAAGCTCTCACAGGTGAGCACGCTTGCGTATTCCATTTGCGTCTATAAAGACACGTCTACAAATCCTTGAACATGTTCTCGGAACGCTCTGTCCATCGTTAGAGCTTTTGTTCGACCGACAAAAGATTGGATTGAACGTTTATATCGTTGCTTCCGCAATCTTTCCGTTGCACATTTACGAATTCATAAGATTGACTTTGCCGTTTGATTTGCCGTCGTTATTCGACACTGCCGTTACTAACGTAAACCATAAAATCACGCATACGCAGGAGCAATTAAAACAAGCCGTGAAAAACGTGGTTGACTTAATAAAAGAACCCTTCTACGCTCTGCGAGACGCGATATCGAAAGTAATAAAGACGGTGAAGGTGGTCGTGAAGAAGATTAAGCGGACCCTCGTGGCTATCAAGCGACTCGTGCTCAGTATACGTGAGTCAACGTACTCCTATTGGCTTCGCGGATAATCGATCTTCGTAACTTCAGAAACGTATCTTTCAGTGAGAGTGATCACGTCGGTTTTTCAATGGCTCGGCAGCATCGTGAATATCTGCAACAAGAAGCTGGGCACGCCGTTCGACAGGTGTCAGAGGGTCTTTGACGGCGCGGTTACTGACTGCAAAGCGAAGCTTGGTCCCTTTTTCGGGGGGATTTGCAATCTGGCGTACGTCGTCGGTGCCCTGTGTTACGTAGTGAAACCTCTGGACTTCATCTGCATGCTCGTGTCTTATGTCGCCGATACCATAGTTAACGCCGTACGGAAGAGTACGTTGAGATCATAAACGCGCAGGGGAGTTTTTTTCGAGGAGGGGGTTTGTGTCACGAAAAATTTCAAAGAATTTATTTCAAAGTATTCATACAACGTTTAGTCATTTTATAAATTAAAACATTTTTTTCCACCAACGCTGCTGAGTTTTTCTATCTCGTTCTGATTCAATATCCCTTGCTTACATAGAAATTAAAAGGTTCACTCGCCACGTAAAAGCAATGTTCTACGTTAAAGTGAAATTCTCGCACTCTTTCCATTTTGAGACGAACCAAAGTAAAGCCCTCGGAGACGTATCGACTGGCATAATTACCGAAGTGCGATCGAGAACCGATAGATTTCTAGCTGTTTTCGATTGGATGAGCTTTATGACCACTTTCTTCATTTTCTTCACGCTGCTAAGGTAAAATTAAGGCGTCATTCTAATAAACGGCAGCCTGGTGTATTTGATACATCGAAACATGTTTCCAGGATCTTGCATTATCGACACAAATGGCTGACGAGCGAACGCTTCGATAATAAGTACTTGACTGATGATCTGCGCACTATCGATTTAATAAGAACACGTCAGGATAAGGAAACCATTCTGCCGTTAAACCGTCGCGAAAGAAATCAATACATCCCGCTGACGTCCGTTACATTGATCAAGGTGGAAAAAATTAAGCTCACGAAATCCGCCGTTTTTCTAGGCTTAACAACGTTCAAAATCTGTATCCACATGATGGCGGACTACAGTCTTCATTGGATTCTCAGCACTATTAGATATCACGGGCGGATCGAAACAAAGGTATCTTGACGAGCGATATTAATTAGAAAACAACGTATGCCTCGGGAGGATTTTATTTATGACATTTGGAGCCTTTCCTATCTTCAATACTGTAACTGCATCTTGAGACAAACTTAACGGTGAAACGCTACTCTCAAACTGATGCTCGGCAATAGGAGAAGAGCGAAGAATTAAATCGCAGTTGACGGAATATTTCGCGGACCGAGTTGATTGAACGTTCCGTTGGCTTAGAACCGCAATTTTGTTATCGAGATTCGCGTGGAGTGCGGGAATATCGACAATCGGTGGTCGGATATATACCGCGGCGTAGAATAATCACGATAGAAGGTAATATAATGGCGGAACGTATATATCGATCTCCAGGTCCAACGACCCAATTTCGTGGGCGTCTATGTGTCTGGTGACGGCTATCTCGCCGACCTTTATCGAAGCATCGTGAAAGCCTTCACGCCGCACACGAAGGATACGGAGATCGATGTGACACCCTGCCTCCCGGATCCCATTCCTCCAGATCTAGATCGGTACACGCAGATTGTGACGTTGATGGCCTTCTGCTGGATCATGGCGATATTCGAGCCGTACGGATTGCGACTGCGACACGTCGTCATGTGCAAATATCACCCGGAAAGAGCGAAGCAAAGAGCCGCTTGGTTGTATAATCACATAATTAGGTAATGCACTTTCAATTAGCTAATGAAGTAACCAACCGACGCACTGATATCAGATTATGCTACTTCCAGCAAAGTTTTATGCTGGTTGTCTCATAGAATATTATTAAAGCTTGATTATATTAAAAGTACGCTTCGTCACTTTTAACTCAATATTAAAATCTAACAGGATTTCTTAGTGAAATGCTAAAAGACATCTTTTTAAATATTAAATTGCATTTGAGTAACGAGGTTCCGCTTGTATCGCGCAATTTGCTGTTTAGTTTCTCTTTCGTTTATCTTTGCGCGATATAAATTACGCACATAGAAGCCGCGCTTAGTTAATGGGTTCAATTCGTGCAGGTCGAGAGGAAGTTTTCTAAAATTTGCACGACGCCAGTTGCGCCGCAAGTTTGGCATGACCGAAGGCGAGAGAATCGAGAGAGTCACGTTCGCAGAGCGATGCCTGGCGATCTGCCCTTTCCTGAACAAATTGTTCCCTCGAAAGCAGAACGTGTGTCTCCTGTGCGGCGCCGTGGAACGTTCCGATCAGGAACCGCACATTAAATGCGCCACACCAAGCTGCGTCGGTTTGTTCTGCATCCAATGCTTCGCGGACTTGCAGAATCTCTGCACGATTTGCCGATCGCCCATTGACTACGGCGATTTGTCAGACATTAGCGAGGAGAAGTGAGTTTTAACGATAAATCATGTTGCGAGAGAGCTTACAGGTTTACAAATACGAGACCGAAGTGCATAATACACTATTACGCGCAATGTATATTAACATGAATATTTTTCACAAATATACCACGTCTTTGCAGAGCTATTTGCTTTTGCTTTTATATTTAAAGACGTGGAAAAGTATTTTTCTCTTTTGGGTAAATTATTCATGAAAAGAATCAAGTGTCTATTTCATTATAATTTAATGAAATATTTTTATCTTTACATTTAAGATGTATTTTTATTGCAGTATTGATCTATTCGCATTTCTCATGTCTAATCGAATTAGAGATTCATCCGATGATCAATTGATAGTAAAAAGGGAACCTGTACCAATAAGCACATATATCGATGAAAGAGAAGAACCGGTTATAGAAGAAAAACCCACGGAGGAAATGGCAAAGGAAGAAAAAGAAGAAGAAGCGCCGAAGGAAAGTGTACCAGAAGAAATAATAGTGAAAGAAAGGTTGCCGGAAGAAGAGATGCCGGAAAGAAGAATATCCGAAGAAAGGAAAGAAGAAAGAATCGAAAGAATACTTGTAGAAAAGAAGGACGAAGCAGTGCAAACGGACGACGATATCGGTGAAAGTAGTTCTGATTCGATCTGTTGTTACAGTATGTACATCACCTATCTGCGTTTCGCACTGTATTTCTATTACAAATGCGTGTCTTCAAATGCACGCAATTTAATTATCGATACACGTGCCAGCTTGTCGAGAAGAATCACGAGAGATCGAAATTGAGCAGCGGAGAATGCCGTTCAAAGACGTCGAAGCGCAGAAAATAAGGGAAGATGTTACAATTCAAGTGAGACACTGCACAACTTTTATTTAAAAAAAATTTACTTTAAACCACTAAGATGAAAGATTTTTGCAAAGCATAATGCAAGTAGGTAACAAATTTTTCTTAATTAATTTTACATTTATAATATAATATCGCGATTGGTAGAGTAAATTATATAAATAAATTGTCGGCTTCTTGAGAAGCGTCGAGTTTTAATTATGTTAATAATAAGAAAAAAATTGATCTCAACAATCAATGTCAATAAAAATTGGCAATGAGCAGCAAATGTTCGATTCAGATTTTTAACGAGCCATTGGCGAGGGATATTACCTCGAGTAGCGAGGATCCGACGTCCTGTTTCGTGATGAGAGCTCGTAGGAGACTTCGTACCAGGTTGAAAAGGAAATCCTGCTCTTCCCCGCGCAAAGACGATTCCAGCTCGTCTACGTCGATAGCGGACACCGAATCCTGCCCTACGGAGGAGCTAGATGAGGAAGAGGTAATTCACATTGAGATGGACGACGGCTCAAAGGAATTACTCTTAAAGGCCGGTAGTGCAAAAGCAAGGAAACGAAGTAGTCACATAGGAAGAATCCTTGCTGCACTCGCGAAAATTTCTTGGCTCGGCAAGAGAACGGTACGCGATAAAATAACTTCCCTCGCTACCTCGCTGGCGTATTCCTTCTACTTTATTTTTAATCAGTAATTTCTGCATCGATCGTTTACCAGTGAATTTTCGTTTCCTTTTAGACGACCGATAGCGACGGCGAATGGCGAACGAGAAAACCGTCTCTCCTGGATAGAATAGCGCGGATGCTGCCTGGAAATCAATCTACCGCGCCCGTGCGAATGTATCGGCGAATTCGCACTACGAAAAAGGACGCGAGGCGTAAGGACTCTTCCTCCGTTTCCTCATCTTCCGCCGACGAAGAAAACGAACGGCGCACGATCTTAAAGGCGCACGATCGGCAAGTAGATTGTTTGCAAATCATCTCAGACCATGACGATTCCGGGGATAATATTTACAGCAGAAATTATGATTCGCATCGCGCACGACGCGGGACGATCTGTCGGCGATCAGATTCTCATAAAACTGACGATGCAAAACTGAGGTATCCTCACGAGAAGAAATTTCAAATGAAAGAGTTGCCAAGGTATAAAGAAACCACAAATGCAAGACACATAGATATTTTTAACACTAATGTCGTACATCATGTAACATGTGTAGACATCTGCAGCCAGTTTCGAAGGGTACGGCGTATTTTGAAGTGGATGAGATTAAAGATTCTCAATCGAAGCGAAAATGTATTCGTCCGGCAGACCGCATTAATGTTTTATCGAACACCAGAATATCCGACATCGACAGGAATAAGAAGAGAGACATATGGGACATCGCTAGTGACGACTACGCTCAAGTATACTTATCGTTTTTATTTTTATGACAACCTTAATTCTCTCGGCAGCATTGAAAAAAATATTGATACTTTAATATTAATGTTTTTTTTTCAATATTAATATGTAAAAATATATGAAATTTCAACCAAATTGGAATTATATTTTACTATTTGATGAAAACGCGCATAAATATTTGAATAAATTTGTCTCATACTTTATTTAAATGTCTCATTTAATATTTCTTTCATTTATATAGCTGATCTCAATTCCTACAATTTTACTCGTATTAATTAAAATTAATTTATTTAGTTTCCTTGCATGTCGCAAATATCCTGCGATGTTAAAGATAGCACGAGTCAATCGGACATGAGTGCCGTTACAGAACAAAGCAGTAAAATATCTGAAACGAACGGAATGTCAGAAACAGATAAGGAACGGTTAGCTACTGATTGGGAAAGATTAGATCAAGGTAGTATCTTTCGCTTTAGAATTTTACACGAAGAAAGGAACTGACTATTCGATCACGTAGCATACTTGTCTGATCTCCAGAAAAGAAGACGGAAGAAATTGTCACTACCGAAAAAACCTCGATAGATAGTGAAACAGATCGACCAGGAGTTTCAAAAAACGCTCCAATCGAAAATGATCGAAGGGAATCATTAGCGAAAAATAGCAGAGCAATTGTGGAGTCAAATAACACTGTGGAGGGAGGTATGAGAATATACTTTGCCAAAAAGGAACAAGCCGAAGAATTAGCCCGAGGAAAAAGGGCCAGAGAAAAAGTGATAGCGTCGACTTCGGTAGCAAATGATAAAGCTCGACTGTACGATCCGTTAGCTAGTTTAGAGTTGTACGGCGTCACGTGCCAAGTAAAAAGACGTGAAAAACCTGCCGTGGAAAAATTAACGAAGCAATCGGGAACGGCGGAAATACGTATTGACGATAGAAAGGCGGCGGGATTTGAAGAAGATATTGAAATGGTACAAAAAAGTGTGCAGGTTTTGGCGCGTGAAATTAGAAAATCTGCAACATTATCTGAAAAGAATATTCAAACGAATCTGCGAAAAGCTGAAAAATACAAAAGGTGTAATAAGATGTCGCATATCGACGCGGAAGTTTCCGGAGCAGTTGGCTTGGAAAGAAAAGGGAAGAAGAAGGAAAGAAAACAGAGAAAATGGATCGATAAATATAAACATCGCGAGCAAAGGTATAAAGAGAGAAACGGCGAGAGAAAAGATTTTTTAAATTACTTAATGTGCTTAATCTAATGCAAAAATATAATTCCACAACGTCATATAGGAAATCTGATAGTAGCTCACCACGAAGAAAACAAGAATCCGGTAATAAGGCTACACTGGTGAAAGAAAAGCTTTACAATAGAAAGAAACGAGAAAATATTTGCATTCGCGATGTGCTTACTCGTAGACATCCCAGGTAATACATACGCGTTGTATTTTACATCGAGTTTCTAACATCGGTGAATTGATAGTACACGGCACGCGGAAGACCCTTTCCGTGCGAGTCGCGCGGAATGGCATCCTGACGGTGTTCGAAGGCAGGCAAGAATTGCTCCCGCATTAAGATCAGTGGCTGAACCAAGAGAAAATCGTCAAACTCAATGTAATCTTAGCGACCAGGAGGACCCTCGAAGCAGGAAAGACGATATCTACGATGTGAAGTCTACAAACAAGTCAGAAGTCTGGTCCTGTCACGTTCAGCAATTTAAGGCACCTGAGCAAATAGTTTGCTGTCAAGATTATTGGGATCAAGGAAAACTTTTGAGTTCATATAATGAGTACGTTTACATGCGACTCTTATACACATTATAGGGAAAACAGAAATATTTGCACAATTAAAATTACACAATAAAATTTCACGTCACATCCCATACTTGTGCTTGTTACAGCTTATAAAAGTAATACTACAAATAAAACAAGAAAATAAGACCCAATATATTTATATGAAATATTGCATACAAGAATGTTAAGTTTTAAAATCGAAAGTAATAAATTAGCTTCTTTGTAATGATTGCAGCTCATCAGAGAAGAAGCCGCAGCAAATAAAAAGAAGATACAACGTTAACGTGCGCGACGCCAGATTGGAAATACCTATGTTGAAAAAATATTTACCCGCCTATCAACCCCCTGGTTTGATAGAAGAGCTGAAGGAACATGATAGAATGAGATTAATTCAGGAACGAGAAGCTAGAAGACGGACAGCTTTGAGCGCTCTTCGAAGCACGAGGGATTCTCTATCGAGCGGTGCGTCGAGGCATCGGGCGTGCGATACTTCTGTAATATGCGACGCTCATGAAACCGTCAGCAGATTAACTTCAGTAAGAAAAGTTGCTCTCGCATTGTCTAAAGATTGCAAGAATTCTTGCAGACTCCGTCGTACCCAGCAATAAGCTAATGTAACTTGATTAATTTCTCTTCTAATTGAATCTCAGCGTATTTGTTGCTATGCGATTGTTGAAAGTGGAAAGTATTCTCGGTATGACGACATACCAATGTGCGGTCGCTGTAAGAGAATGAAAGGTTAAAGATATAAAGTATCTCTCAGTTTCGATATGATACATTCCAAGGTCTCCACGAGGCTGACAGAGGGGAATACCCTTCCGTATCAAGAAACGCAAGCTTTCAAAGACGTCGTGCGTGAGTTTCGGGACAAAATGATAACGACCGAGATACCTCTAATATCTTTATCTCAGCGCGCAGACAAATCTAAAGATGTGAAACAATTGTTTCCTCTCAAAAATGAAGACCGCGGCGGATTTACGGCGACGCCGAAGTTCGCGAAAGTTGTTAACAGGTTTAAGGTACACGAAACTTTATTTGCGAGAGATTCAACCGGAATTAAGAACGGTTAAAGTGGATTTGTGCGCGTAGATTGTAGTTAAGTGTGGAATATTTAGTTGTACATTGACTTTTACTGCGGGAGCTGAAACAATTTGAAATTAATTTACGCCCTTCGGCCATTTAATGTATGCGAGTACATGTTTTACGTTTCACTATGATGTAATTAATAATTGGAATTAATGTTCGTACGCAGCCAATATATGATAAATACGAGGCAGAAGAAGAGTGTACTACAATATACAAAACAACGCGGAAATTTCCAAGCGAATCGTTTAGCGAAATGTCGTCAACTTGCAGTTACCCTCGTGAACATCGTCGATTTGACGTCTCGACTTCGGCCGACGAAAGCACAGATAACAATGTTGATATCTCATGAATGTGTTATATAATAAAGAATGCAGGGAAGAAATCTTGTAATCGAATTAGTGGTATTATCTAAATGTTAAAGTTGTTTGTGAAATTATGTAACGCTCTACTTCGTTGTTTGTTACGTTATGTAACTGAAACTCTTTGAGGTTTAATTTTAAATATTGACAAGTTCGGCAAACTTTAAAGGAAGATAATCTAATAGTAAATTGCTTGTCGAATGTATGTCGCAAACAGCGTTGCGGAGCAATGTGTCGCATATTTGTCAGCGCTGATACAGTGTTAAAAAAAAAATCGTGCCGTTCGCATTTGCATATTACACAGTGCGGGGCGAAATAATTTATACGCATAACCGAATAACACGCAGCTGCTAAAGTGTCCGTCTGAAAACAAATACAGCGACTACCAGAATCAAAAGCAAACAACAGATTTCTTATCGGTGGTGCTAAATACCACTACAGCTGAACGATTAATTAATACACGCAATAGACACGAGTCAAAGTTATTGTATGAGAATCCATCTGCTAACGCGGAACCCTTAAAGACGACCGTACATTTTTCACAGGCAAATTGAGAACGCTCGTAAATCACGAAGGATTCCGACAGTCGTGGCCGTTGGAAATGCGATCAACAAGCTACGTGAATAATGCATCGGACGATTTTCTGCGAGCACGTGCTATCGAGACAACAAAAAACGTGGCAAGGTAGAAATCGAAGTCCTTATTAGAAATAAATGCGATAACTTTTGTTTTTTTCCCCCCCAACTGCATTTCTTTCTAGACTTCCAAACGTTTTCGGCAATTAAAAATGCATTTATAGAGATACGGTGAAATAATCAAATTATGAAATTCCGGAACGTAGTGAAAAATTCCGTATCGAAAATCGAGTAACTCGATATTAAGAATTACTCAATACGCAGCAAAAATAAAAAGCGCAGGAACTGTTTCGACTTTTGTTATTGCAAGATACTGTCGGTGTGACGTGGCACTTAACCAAGTAGCTAAAATTTTCAAGTACGAATGATTGTAGCTTTGTGACAAAGAATGCAAGTATTTCACGAAGTGAAAGAAATAATAAGGACGATCATATATTTGTATAATAACAAAGCTGAAAGCAACATGCATCATGAGAAACGATAATGGGGCTAAGAGGCTTATACAGGCAGAAACGATTAGGGTTAAAAATCGAAGCGAGCGGAAAAGCAGTAGATTCTCGGCCGACAGAGGATTTAAAGACTGGAGAGATAGAGCACGGTATTTCCGGCACAAAAGATACTTTTGCGCAGTGCAAATGTAGCTTACCCCTTTCACGACGTAAAGACCATCGGTTTTTCATGTCGGAGATCGATACGTCGGTCTTCGCCGATCAGCCGAAAGCAGGAAGGGGAGAAGCTTTGAAAGCTTTAGCGTGGCCGAAGAGAAAGGAGGAGATATCATGAGAGAACAGGAGCTGGAAAATAAGGTAGAAAATGATAAGAGGATACCGGGGGGCGAATTGCGCGTGCACTTTGGAAACGTGCGGAGAAGAAAGGATCAAGCAAGAGACTTGCGTGGATATTTCGGCGAGAAAGAAGTTACTCGCGCGCGACGAAAGTATCAGCCCAACAAGGCTGAGTGAGATGATCAACAAAGAAATAAACGATTCCATTAAACGGATCAACAATTCGATAAAAGATGCTATGCAAACTCTTGCCAAGTGTTCAATGGTATTTAAGATGCAAGTATCCACAACGTACCTTTAGAATTTTTCTCTCGATATTTCACGCTTTCGTAAAAATACAGTTAAACGACGGTAGATTAAACAGCGAGGTTGACAAAAGTTTCTCGTCTTTCGTAGCTTATTGTACTTTGCGGAGAGAATTGGTTAATGGGACAAGATTTTGGTAAATAAATTTCTTTGAAATAGGAAGAGAATAAGCCGATTTTATCACGTTTAAAAGAATTCAACGGCGTGCCCGATGTGTGTCAATCCCGTGTACCGAAAGAACATTGTAAAAACTCATCCAACATTCGTGGCAATCGACAAACTGCAAGCCACGCTGCACGGCGGTGTAATAATTCATCCACATGTGACAATTCATATCTGTGCACCAAAATGCATGAGAGTGCAATACCGTTGCCTGTAAAAAATAAAGTTAGTAGCGAACAAAAGGCTAAAAGGCATTCAAAATCAGGGAATAACGCGATTACTAATAATCGCAAAATGACCGGAAATGTCAATATCTATATTTGCTCGGAAAATAATGACAATAACCAGGTCAGTTTATCGAATAATCTTTTTGCATAAAATACTATATTGAATAACAATAAAGTAAAATATTTCCAGGTCACAAAGTATATAAAGAGTTGATTTGTATACAAAAATACATTTATTATATTTATTATCATTAATGTTTCATAGAATTTAAAAGTTCTTATTAATAAATCAATATAGCCAATGGCAGTTTCATGAAAAAGGTAGAGGCTCTAAAATGAGCGGATCTTAGTATTGGAATCAATTATTTTGCAATTATGCTCACAATTGATATATGATTATTTCACCGATATGAAAAATACTTATAAATGTATAATAGTTACTACAATTTTTTAACAACAGTAGAGTAGTAATATATTATAATTATAAATCGAAAATAATTAACTAACTAATAATTAATTGTAATTAATGTATGAACGAGAAGGACAAGAAGAAATCGAGACCTCAACTTTACATGGATACAAGCTCCAATACAATTAGCGAACATTCTAACTCGACAAGTATTAACGCCAGCACGACGTCTTCGTGCAAGCTGATGAACAGCATAAAAGAGAAACGGAAGAAATTGCTAATTCAGCAATCGCCCAATTTTATTCATGAGAAGAGCAGCGATGATAACACCGTCCACGAAAACGGAGCATTACGACACAGGATTAGCAAGAAGCAATTGAGCGAAGCGAGCGGCAAAGAGAAAGCAGATGTCAAAGTCGACGCTGGAAACAGGTCGACTTTAGTACAAGGACGTGTTTGGTGCAAGGACGTGACTTCATCGACCAAAGATGGTTGCTATTGTAAAGATCGTGACGGCATAGATTTCCAACGGGACTCCTCGTACTCTACACTTCCGTGTTCGAGTTTCAGCGCGTGCGACAATACCAGACGCCTACGATCTTCGATCACAATATATCCTTCGAAAGCAAGAGCAAGGCTGGACGACAGTGACATCCTCCTGTCGAGAGCGCTTTGTGCCAACGTGGGACGAAGGGATTGTCGTAAAAATAATGATCGCGATAATGCTCGCGGAGACGATAGTAAATACACTGCGCGTCATGCGGACGATGACAGCAGGTGGTTACCGAAATCGATTTATACGGATCGCGCCACGTACAACGAGGATCTCAAAGAACGTTTCGCGGACAGTTGTAAATATCGAAATAAAATACCCCGCGAGTCGGTAATATCTCGAAACGATATCCGGAAGAAACAGGTGGGATATAAATTTTTGCAACGACCTCTCGAGGGCTGCCAAAGGGAGCAAGTGGCTCGAAGGTGGTCCACGTGTAGTTGTATCGCAGAAGAAGAGGAAGATTATTGCAAAGAGACCGACAAAGTCGAAAAGGCGCTTCCTGAAAACGCGCGCAATGTCGCAGAGTTCTTAGAGAGAATATCCGTTTGCCGAACACCCTCTAGAGAATTAGCCGAGAATGCGGCTGTGTGCGAGACGTCATTTAATGCTCCTGAAAAGGGCTCCGAGAAAGGGCGAACTTGTAACGAATCGGCGAAACATTCGAAGGGCATACGCGGAACAAAGTTTGAAAATTCGGAAGAACCTTCGAAAGTAACAAAAGTTTGTAAGGAATTCGTTACTGGAGAGCCTTTGAAAGATATCACAGTTTGCAAGACGCTGTTTGGCAAACCGAATGGACTTGCGGAAGAAGTAATAGTTTACAGGCCGGCGCTTCCCGACTCCAAAGACACACCACAGGAAACAATTTGTAAGGAGATTCCCGATACGAACTTTGCCGACCAAGACGACGTTAACAGATTATCTTTAAGCGATGCAAAGGATAAACTTGTAGAGGAAAGTATAAATAGTTCGAACTTAAATGGTACGAAAGAGAATGCCGTGGCTAAGACAATGGTAAAGCTAAGTGGTAAGCGTAACAACGTTGCTGTCAATAATTCCGCCAGACAACAGCCTGCTAATATAGAGAAACGTGAACCAATAAACGAAGCTTCAAATGATCCATCGAAAAATTTACATCAAATTCCCGTTGAGTCGATTAAAGATTTTCAACCAGTGCCAAAAAACGTTTATTCTACGACGTTACGTGCGCAGCTTTATGACAGCTCGAGTCTTGTTACCAATTCCAATGCAAAGCAAACACCGAAGACTCTTGTTAACCAGCAAAGAATGCAATCACTTAATCAACCAATAAGGAATCGCACTCAACGATCGAATAATTTTATGCAAAGTCTGGCCTCAAATAAAAATAGCCATCTGAGAGAAAGGACGGAAGAAAATTCGAAAGAAGAAGAAGAAGAGGGGCGGGATATTTCAAAAGACGTGGAAACCACTGAGGGCAAACAAAAAGAGTCGCTTTTACATCGACCGTTTAAAAAATTAATGGACGTAATTAAACGCGGTAGGACGCTCGTTGCAGACAGAATAGGGAGAGGAAAGATTGAAGCGAAAAAAGCAATTGCTAATGACAAAAAGGATGATGAAAAATTAGAAATTATTTCTGAAAGCGAAGATAAAACTGGTATTAAAGATCAGCGAGAAATTACTAAAGAAGTGGCTACACCAATTAGATTACCACAAATAGAGGTCGCGAATGAAGGTAAATTATTAATGAATTATATTTTTCGCAATAAACTTAGAATAAAATATTTAGACACCAACACCCTGTCACGGCTCTTAGTCCTTTATCTCAGGCTTTAACTCAGGCTTAATAACCATAGTCCTTTAACTCAGGCTTAATTGCACCTTAATTACAAAGCTTTCAATATCCTTTTTTTCGTAAATCTTTTGCAACATCTTGCACCAGGCAACATCACTTAAATCAAAATATAAGTATCACGTAATAGCATAACGTTTTAATGTATGATACGGATACAAATGATCTCGTTAATCAATTTAATACGGTATTGTATTAATTTCACCCGTAGAAAGATTTTTGCGAGACTAAAATCAATCGCGTCGGTAAATGATTTTACAATTTCTGGAAAAGGAAAGAAGACGGATATTCAAAGAATGGGTCGAACAATGCCTAAATTACTGCGTGCCATCGCGGCGAAGAGATCACATGTTCTACCAGCTGTAACGACAACTGCTTCTAAACCCCAAGAACTCGAAATAGTATCTGCTCGTACTGAAACAATCGCGACCGTTCATGTTCCCGACCAAGAGGAAGCCCCAGAAGAAAAAGTAATATTGCAGGAGCGTACTCCTGCAGAGATCACGGAAGAGATAAAGGCGGATGATTCGATCGCGCCTGAAATGAGTGTTGCCGCAATTGAAACGGGTGTCGAAGACGCTGCGAAAGACGCTGTTGATGAAGACGGAGTTCCCAAAGCTATTCGAGATGAGACAACGAAGATTCACGTTACCTGCCCGCAGAAGAAACCAGAAGAGGAATCACAAAAGCCTATTCTTTGTAAATGCGGTCTACCTTCCGATCCGAGTGCTCGTACGCGTTCAATTGCCATGTGTGCGAAAGACCATGTGCCCTGCCCGCAGAAGTCGGAAGAGGAACCACAGAAATCCAGGCTTTGTAAACGCGAATTAGCTTTCAATTCGAATAATTACTCACGTACCATTGTGAAATGCACAAAGTGCGATAACATTGTCGGACATTGTCCCTGCAAGAATAATAGACTCGAACGGAAGAAAATGTATCGCGCGCGTTGCCGTTTGTCGACAATGCGATGCATCTGCGCGCCATATCCGAAAACTTGCTTAAAGACCGACAAACCGGAATTTCGTGACGTATCACCTTTAAAGATCAGCTCGCATATCTGCACGAATTGTTGGAAAGAACGCAAGTGCAGAAAAACGGCGGTCTGTGGCTATTCTCACGAAGAATGCAGGTGTAGGTGGTGTGCTACGCGCGGCGATTGTTCCAGAGTTAATTATAAACGCAAGTAAGTTACGATAACATTTTTCACGGTATTGTAACATTTGCATTGTCTCGCGTTTTAAAGAGGCGTGCAATTATTAAACAGAAATTAGTAAATATTTATTAATTAAGTACCTCAATATATTTTTTAATTATATTCCGAGATAAAAAAAACACTATACATAGATATTTCCCGAAACATTCGGTAGGTGTGGATCACAAGCGAGTTGCATTAACTGCGGCAGGCCAAGAAATCAATGTTGTTGCGCTACATTCGCATTGGTAAAATGCCACAAGACCAAGGAAGGCCGCAAGAAGACAATGATTTGCCTGTACTGCGATAATCCTCGAGACAAATGCACATGCAAAGCACCAATCGGAACTTGTTCGTATTGTGGTTTGCCGTCGGATGTTTGCAACTGTCGAGAAGACAAGGGTCACGCTCGTGACTATGAACGAACTGCCGTAAAGCCGGATGAGAATCGGACGATTCGTGTCACAAGCTGGACGCCAAAAAGGGAAATCAGGCGGTATTTCACGAGAAACCCTGAGGACCTTTGGTCGTTTTCCAGCGAAGAATGTTACTGCCGTGAAAATCCGAAGCATCAACGCCCCGAAGAATTACCTTATCAACGGCTGAACATCTTCTCCGAAGTGATGAACGAACTGCAGCAGAAGATGAGCGAGTCCATATGGTGTGCACAATGCTGGAGGAATCCTTGCTGTTGTATATCGCCGGCCGAGCAAGATAAGAGAAAGGAAGAAAGGAAAGCCGAGAACCGTGTCAAGTATATAAAAGAATCTTTTGCCTCTGAAAATAGTTTTATCTGATTAAATAGGGGTGCATCAGGTATCGAAAAGAAAATTTCTAGGCACAAAGATTTAGCTCGATTGAAGAAGGCACATTTCTATTTATTTATGCTGTTTATGCATCAATCAATTTTCATTTATTAGTAGCATTTTTTGTTAATGGATATCGACAGAAGTAGCAAATAATTTTCATTTATCTCTACCGTGATCGAGTTTCTTTTTATTTTTGAGTTTTTTAATAGGTTTTTTTCAATGAATACGTGCTAAATCATTTAGTCTTTTCGTTAGTGGAGCTTGTATGCTTCACTGGTCATGAAAGAGTTGCAGCTTTTCTACGATTACTTTACTGTTAAATATTTGTGCTTAGATTACCTTCGTATCATTGCTTAGACGCGCTGAGATAGAAAGGTCACCTAAAAACAAGTCACCGAATGATTGCCGGTGTAATCCGAGAAACGGGCGAAAAGGCATCGCTCAAGAGTTGATACCAATCCGACATGTTGGCTGCATTTGTAAACTAACGCCGTGCAGATGTAGAAAAGACAGATTCATCTGTAAGAGACCGCTGGCAAAGTGCTATTACTGCAAGAGTCTGCCTTGTACGTGAGTAAAACAAATTACACATCGCCGCGGAATTTAATTACAGACATTTTTTCGTGTCGCCAATATCTGTACTGTTTGAGTAATGGAGATTTTGTAAGCAAATGCAGTTATTAACGGACCCTCATCAGGCCCAATGCAGCGTACACGCATGTTATTTCTCATTGCTGCATCTTTATTGTATTCTTTGCCGCAGCTGCGTTACGGTGAAATAATCGAAGTCGCGCAGGTGCGTTGATTCATCGCGCAAAAACGAGGACAAAAAGAATTTTACTAATCCGGGAAATAGACACGGAAGGTAAAGTGACGTTTAATTAGTAGATAATACTATCAATAGTTAAACAAATGACAAGTAAATATAACGACAGTGCATAGCTTGTATTCCAAGACGAGTATTTAAAATGCAGAGGTGTAACAAAAATATTTTAATATTAATATTTTTACATCCTCAATAATATTAACAGGGACATCCTCTACTTGTATCTTTGATAAATTCTCAACCTGAACGCCGTCACACTAAATGAACATGTCGTTAAGTAAATTACACATGCTCGATTTTGTAAAGCCATTGGCACACGATACTAGTTTTCCTACTGGATTGCTTACGACAGCCAATCAGGATGCAGAGTCTTAGATCTGGTGACTTAAGGCTAAATCCTGATTGGTTCTCGTGAGCAATCCAGTAGGAAAAATAGTACCGTGTGCCGCTGGTTTAATAGAACAGTTTGCAAATTCTGTAACTTTCCCTAAAAATATTTCCCTTGTCAGTTTCATGATTAACATTAATCTTCAAGTAATTTTTGGTGTACGTAAATATGTTTCTTCTAAACGCTCTAAGCGACAAAAATAAACAATCTGTGTCACCCATTGAAAATTACTTTTACGGCTTAATCCAATTATATGCACACATGATATTTGAATAGAACCACATATTATTTGCGATTCAGATTAACGTCACTAAAATAAGTGGAATGTTTCTATGATCTCTACATTTCGTAATAATCTTGCATGATATAGTTTGCTAACCAAGATTAGTAATATTGCAATGGGTCATAAGATAAGAATTCAGTTATATTTATCTTGTACGCACGCTTTGTATGTTGAGACATGTAACTCCGAAATTCAAGAAAACACATTAACACCATCTTAATTGTCACATGACGCGATAACGATTGATGAATACCGCAATTTGATTAATATGATGACGTATTTGGACCATTTGGCTGATATTTAATAACTTGTGCCATCTGAAATATCCGATAAATTACATTTATATAATATATTAATTATGCCCCCTCTCTTTCTCTCAAGATATACTTATTTTTTATTTAAAAATTATTAATTTTGTTATTAACCTTGTTAACTTAAAGTCGTCAATGCTAACATATAATTTTTCGAGTCAGCTTAAAAGCAGATAAAAGTGTACAAAAGTATATATAAAAAATTGTAATATAAAATATAAATATATACAAAAGATATACAGAGGGAGCCATAACGGACAAAGTCACAGTTTGCGAGCACAAAGAATTTTCTTTGTGTCGTATTCTATTATTTGGATGGAAAGCAACGATTACAACAGAGTAGCAGGCAACAATAGAAAGGCCTGGCCCTAAGTCCATTACCCTCGAGCATTTTCGTTTTCAAGAATGGAACCGTGGTAAATCTAGCTCGGACGTTTTCATTGACGAACACTGAAAAGTACGGAAGGAGAAGTTCACAAAATGTTGACGCCGCTCGGACGATCGGCCGGAGTAGGGGGCACCTTGTACGGCATATAAGATGCTGTATCCGCGTTGTACTAGACCGGTACCAGCTGTAGGCGAGCAAAGACAGCGAGGTAGCACGGATTAGTACGTTCGCGCAGTTAGTACTCGGCGTATAGGCGGCCGAAGACGTCGACATAAAATCACTCGTCTTCCCGATCGCCCTCGAAGCCGCGTCGCATTCTACGAGTCAGATACCGCGACGGGAGTCAAAGGCGCCCGGTTTCAACGCACACGTGCTCTCCGGTGCGACCGCACGTCCCTTCCCGGTGCACGCGGGAAAGCCAGAGAGAAACTTTTGCCGATTGAATAGAATCGCCCAAGTGTCGAGATACCGCGGTGGCTGGAAAATGGAGATTTGCAACCGAGAGGACCGACTGTGCGACGTGCCACGCGGAAAAGCGTCGCGCCTCGCTGAGAACGGCGAGAAACTCCAGCGGGAGAAAGTTTCCACCCTGCAGGAACTTATAGATGCGCTGCACGAAGCCTTCAAGACGGATCACGTAAATATCGATCACGTTCAGGACCTGATGATGAGCTACAAGAGCAATCCCGCGGAGTGGAAGAAATTTGCCAAGTTCGACAGATACAGGTATATATATATATATCTGGCGTTTAATTATTTACATACGAAACTCACTCGGCGTTCGACGAGACGTATTTCTATCTTTCGTCAACTTTTTAGCATGCGAATTAATTTAGAGAACGCAAGATACGTCGCTATTGTAAGAAATACCAAAATTGCACGTCGTCTTAATTTTCTATACGATCGTCTCAAGTGTGCATGAATTGTTAACGCAGGTGAATGAGAGATTGAAAAATCTGTACAGCGGCAACGATATAATGTAATCGCAATCGCGAATCGTGAGGAATATTCCCGATCGATCGAAAGAAGTCTTGGCGATTAATCGCGCGAGGGAATTGAAAGTTCTTGGGTAACGTCCGCTACATCATTTCATCCTTTGTCCGGGAACAAAATTATACCCCTTTCAAGATCGCGACTGGCAAGATTTACACGCGCAATCGGTAAGGCCGATCCGCGATTCCACGGAATGGATCTCATGTTGCGACAACTAGCTAATACGCGATGAGAATCGCGGCGTGCAATACGGGAATGTTTTCATTGGCTATCAGCTAATTACACATCGATAATTACGGTACTATTGCACACATAATCAGCGCATAACGGTAACGATCAATTAGGGACATTCCGGGGAAGTGCGTCAATGGACGATGTACGTTTGATAACCAAATGGCGTGAACAAATATTTTCGCCGGTCAACATATTTGGGGTGTGCAAATAGAACGTACACAACGCAATGCGGAATTGTGAAATGAAATTAACGTGACGGAGTTCAGAATGGGTTATCGGCTGCCTGTTCTCCGTTCATTCTCTCTCCCTCCTTCCCCTCCCCTCTCTCTCTCTCTCTCTTTGTGTGTGTGTATGTGAGCTACCGGGGGAAAAAACGCGGAACGAAAAATTTAGTAACCTTGTTCTGAAGTGACCCGTAACGCCACTTGTGGGTAGGAGTAGAGATAATAGCAACATAATAATCGGAAAAAGTACGTCGTACCAGTGGGAATCGTGTCATCGTTTCGACTTTTTCCCGATCGCCATCGATCCCATGACTGCCGTAAATAATAGATAACTTAGTACGCGACGGGAAACACGTAATCTTGGGGGGGGGGGGGGAGAGGGGAAAAATAAAAGGAAAAACCACTTGTGTTTACGAAGAAACGCCGAGTGCGACTGATGTCAGGAAATATCGGCGGGAAGACGGAAAGTTTCCAAGGCGAATGAGACATTGTGTATCAGATTAAAATTATTTATAAATGACCAACTATTATAATAATCCCCGTTGGAGCTGGCTCGGAAAGTTAAGAACGCGCGGATATAAATTTCGAATCCGAAGGAAAATTCCCCTGTGCCGCCGCGGCTTTATTTACGCGGAGGCGTATTATGCGCGCGCATACACGTACGTACATAGTTGCGATAACTAGATTAGCTTATTTATTGCGCGCGATCTGGACGTATCTCCATATTCGTCTTTATATCCGTCCGATAAGAGGGGCAGAAAGAGAGAAAATGCTCTAGAATTATTAGGCACCGCCGACAATGTTATCTCCGCGAACATGTTGCAACGAACTCGGACGATGCAATTCATATTTTCATATTCAGAGCGGAGATAACGTTTTGCTCTTTTAGCGCAAAGATCGCTGGCTGCCCCGGCAATTTTCAGCAGTTTTAGACGACTCGGGGAACATCTCCGCTAACGAAACTCCAAGAGTTCTTTTGTTTTTTTTTTGTTTTTCTTTCCGCTCAAGAGTTTCTTAGCTCTGCCGCTTTTGTATTTTTCCGCCGTCGCACGTGTTATTATCGCGTATTGTCGCGAACAAGTAGCTTAGAGCGCTGCTAATTGCTAATGATGTTGCACATCGACAATTAGTAATATAACATAATATACACCTCGGCGGCTCTTGATTAGATGAGCGCCTGTAAATAGGAACGAAAATGAGTTTACGAGTTCGCGAGATAACGAGCGCCTTGGACGCAGGTGGAATTACTGTGTGCAGTAGCGGATCCACGTGACTCGGGAAAGTACGGAAACTATACGGCGCACGTTTACCGGTTTTGCTGTCAACACAAAGTAGAACGTAATGCCGCGCGGCAGGCAAATATTCCTTCTACCGAGATCGCTCTTGCGAAATGCCGCTAGAAAGATAAACACTTTTGGCGTCACACTTCAACGGGTTATCATATTGTTCGACGCTTTTCTGCGTAAGCGGACGTTTGTGGCTTACGGGAACTGTCGACGGTACGCAGCAAAGCTGTACGAGGCAATTACAAATTTAGCGATTTTTGAGAAGGGGAAAGAACGTGCGACGGAAATGAAAAGTACGACACGCGATCTTTCATAATTTGAAAATCCTTTTTCGTTTTCGCAACAAACACAGAGCGCAACGGAATTGTTTCGGTGCGTTGCGCTAAAAATTTTTCCCAGCGTTTTTATTCGTGCGAATTGGGATGAAGAACACTCGTGCCAGCGAGCTTGTTAAATATTCGTTTAGTACATTACCGTTCCGAATCGATAGTCACAATCAGATATGCTGAAATCGAGGAGCGTCGCGATATTTTGATCTATCGCGCGAGATGATGTTTTCCAAAAAAAGACGGAGACATCGATAGAATTATAAATAGTAAATATAAATATTTAATGAAACAAAAATAACTCAATATCCCTCTCTCTCTCTCGATTATTGTAAAAACATGTTTCCTCAAACAGATATTAAATCTTGATATTATTTAACATCGGGAATTAGAGCAGCGATGTATAAACACCCAGAGGCGATCGACCGGTGAATAGTCAGTTGGTTATGTGTACTTTCCATGCATATATTCCCTTTCCCCGTGTTTGCGTTCTGCGCAATCCAGAGAACACTGGTATATCTGTACATCGCATGACATTCGTGAAAAAAAAAGCGAACGAAACGCGCACGCCGTGCGAAACATCGAAACTTTCAAATTATATTCGCTCTGCTGCACCTCACATTTGCTGCTGAAGTCGCAGATCACCGGTTCGTAAATTGTGCGCTGTATATTCATACCAAAGCCCCTCGTGAATAATACTCTTCCTTCTGAGACGAGAAGTCCGTTGTTAACAAAATGTATGTTACGAAAAGTTGATAATTATTTAATAGCCCGGTGTTGCTACGCGGAACGATCTAAATTCAAATCGGCCTTTTTGGGGAGATAGATTTTCCTTATTTTTTCACCCGGAAAGATTCAATTGTATTACAATTTGTGTTTTTAAATAATTAAACGGATATTGAGTAGAATTTAACAGCACTTTAGCTGAAATACTTTTCTCGTAAGTTCATGAAATTGTCAGGAAACAACTTTTCATGCTGTTCCCTTTTTTTCCATGGATTAAATCAATCGGTTGCGGGCGACTTTGTTGAAAATGTATGGTGACCGGTTAACTGGACTAGTTTTCAATCTCAAACTGCAACTAATATCCCTACCAATATAGAAGCCGATTTCGTAATAGGTTTTCGCGTGCTAAATCCATTAGATTTCGAATTAGCAACATTTAAACCGGTAAATGCGATTGTTAATTAAGATGAATCGATAGCTACAAACCTGCTATCCAGACGAGCGTCCGCATATATCTGGATGTCTGATAAAATTTGTATGCATAATAATTGTTTAACGTGCATGAAAGCCGAGATTTTCGAAAGGTCATAAGAAAATAAGAAAATCCCGACCGGTCGGATAGCATTTTCGAGGGGGGGACATTAGATTGTAATACACGATGCTTTGTACGCAGATATACGAGGAACCTAGTTGACGAGGGAAACGGCAGGTTCAATCTCATGGTGTTGTGCTGGGGGGAAGGTCACGGGTCAGCCATACACGATCATGCCAATGCGCACTGCGTGATGAAGATACTTCAGGGGAAACTGTGCGAGGTACGGAAATGACCGCTTACGGTAAATGAGAGCTACTTGAAACCGCGTGTCGTACATGTAAAATAAAGATATCAAGGGTGCGTTGCTTCTCCTTAGACGAGGTACGCGTGGCCCGCGGGATCCAAGACGGAAGACGGTACGGAGGAGCTCAAGGAACTCGAGAGTAGCGCGCTTGATACGAATGAGATCTGCTATATTAATGGTATGACTTTTAGATAAACTGTAGATGATGAGTTTCGCATACTAAATTTCTTACGCGATGAATAAGCGCGCAGCTTCCTTCAAGTCGATTTGTTTTGCTGAAAACCATCGGATATCCTTTTAATCACAGATTCTTTAGAAAATTTCAAGACGAAAATTCTAATACAAAAATGTCGAGGCTATAATAGTTTTTAAATAACCGGCGATTATACTTTACAAATGATACTCTCCAAAAATCAATCAGTGGATTATCACTGAAAACAGTGAATTGTCACTGATTTACAGTTATAAGTAAACCACTGAAAATCGCAGTGGTATACTTACAACAGTAAATCAGTGACTATTCACTGTTTTCAGTGATAATCCACTGATTCACTTTTCGAGTGTAGGCCTGAGATTTCGCGCGCTCAGGCACGGCGATATGACAAGTGATAAAAGTGTTTCTATGAATTTCCTTTCCTTTCGATCATGCCTGAAAATTGAAAACTGATTAGTCAATTAGTTAAGTGCTCCCCATTTACAAACTATGACAGCCTCGACATTTTTACATAAGGAGCTCCGTCTTGGAGTATTCTGTAGAATTCGTAAAAGGGTTATTGAGCTCTTTGGAACACCCTGCACGTATTATATAAAATACACGGAGAGAAATTTCTCTTAAAATTTGCCCTGAAAATCGTGGGACAGCATGGCATTGTGAAAAACTTTATGAGAGTTTTTTGCAATTTTATCATATACAGTTTATTGGTAAAACATGTATACAAAGTATAATTACTAGTAAAATGTATGATAAAATTTCAAAAATCTCGTAAAATTCTTCAAAATGCCACGTTGTCCCACGCTTACACGATTTTCAGGATAAATTTTGGGAGAAAATTCTTGCACGCACGCATACGCATGCTCTTAAAATAATTCTCGTTGTATCCGTTCAAGATTCGCTTGGTTTGCATCGCGTCGAGAATCCAAGTGTGGTTACCCCCGCGGTCTCCCTGCACCTGTACTCACCGCCGTTCTCGTCGTGCTCCGTCTTCAACAAGCAGACCGGGCAGAAGTCTACGTCTACGGTCACATTCTGGTCCAAGTACGGGGAAAGAAGGAACCGGGTGAGAAACTGTTTGCACACCTCCAAACTTCTCTCTTACCGCGCGATTCTCGAGCCGCCTCTTTGGAAGACCGCATCAAAGAATCTTGGGCCGTGTCCCAAAGTTGCGCTCGCGCTGGAAATCACTACAAAGATTTAAACTCGGTTTACGGGAGTCGCACGTAATGGAACCTTCGTCTTATTTGACGGAAAAAATTTTAGACGTTGGCTCATATCGAGTCGGAACGACTCTATTCGCACTTTCACGCGAGTACCGCAGGTCCGATCGCGCCTGGTCGGTGCGAAAAGCGCGGAACGAGGGGAAATTGAATTGTAATTTAAATAAATAGATAATCGACTAAGGATTCTCGATTAACAAGAACATAAAAATTCGCAAACAATGAGGAAACAGATGAGCCTCGAGAATTAAACGCGGTTAGCTGTGCACGAGTCGACGTTATTTAACATTTAATTAACAATTCGAGTCAACAGTTACGAACGATTTGTCATTCTCACGCTCTCTCGACTGCTTTTGGCGAATTCGCTTCGCTCTTCTTTCTCTTTATTCTTTGATAATGCTCGTCTAATGTCGTCGAGTAGCGCGAGAGTGTTGAATTTTTAATTTGTCTGTTCGCTGAAAATGACTTAATCGCGCCGAAACGTAACTTGCAACTTGAAACGTAACTTTCGAATTGTCAATTAAAAATGTACCGAGTAACGTTGACTCGCGCACAAATCTCATTGACTCACGCACCAATCGCGCTCGGCTTTCGAAGCCCAGTTTTTTCCCTTATTACTTGCTAATTTACGACTCATAGGAAATTCAAGACGCCAGATCTCCCGAGGACAATTAGCCAGGGCGGAAACACCGTCAGCGATACGCCAAGTAAGCGTCGGCGATACTCTAATCGGATGCGGAAAACGACCTGCAGCATCTCGGATTGGACCCGCTTGCTCAACTTGCATAAATTAAGATAGATATAGTCCGTAACAATCGTGCTATTACTACTGTCCAATTTTTATCGTGAAATCGTTTCTTTTTAAGTACTTAATTAAATCTACTTGTAAGGCTCTGTACTCTGGAAAAAAAAAGACAGTCAGCAACCCACTTTGGGGCCCGCAATTAGTAATCGAATTATTTGTATTGTTCGTAACTCTACTCTGGGCAAGATTTTGACCGTTTTCTTTTTATAGTCAAGCAACTTAACATTTCGGTTGGTGCCGAGTATCGACAGAACCAATTGTGGACCTCAAAATGGGTCGCTGTCTTTGTTTCTTCCCCCAGAGTAGATATCCATAAGTGCAGAACACCTGTGTACGTGCAGTCTTTCGTGCTTTCTTTTTCTTTTTGAAAACTAAATTAAATTACTAATCGAATGCAAATAAAGAGTATGAAAGAAGACGAATGTGAAGCGAAGGAAGATCTTTCTGTATGCATGCGCTCCCTCGTCTGTCGCTGAAATACCGACGACTTCTCTCTTTCAATAATAACGAGCTCGGTCTGGTTTAGAAATCATACACGAGAAGCCGGCTGACTCATTAAAATGGCACGCCGGACCGAAATCCTCTGCCAGGATTGACTTGGCCGGCACGACGGTCGATTTTAAAGCCTAATCTACAATGTGCTTTTCTAGAAACATTCTATTTCATATAGCAAGCCAAAACGCTTAGGCCCGGTCCTACAATGAGTCAGTAGTTTGAAATCGGAACTACATGTCAATCTTTTTTTCTTTCGTCCCGGGCCTTAAGAGCTTTGTCAATAACGTACGATTGTACAATGTACAATTTATTAACTTGCACAAATCTTTTAAACATATTTATTGGCTACAAAGTAGAATCCCAGCCAGCAGATAGCACATATAGTTCTATGAATATTCTTCATTTCAGAATATCCGAATCGAATATCCGAATCGAATTCTATAAATATATATAGATTATTGCAATTAGAAATCGTATATTCCCAGCAAACACCAAAGTAACAATTACATAACATCAATGCAAATGTAATATAACAGGTATGTGTTATATTACATTAATATTGACGTTATGAAACTGTTACCTTGGTGTTTGCTGGGCTCATAACGAACGTTTTTATGATATTCGTCGAGAATGCCTGGAATATTCGATCAGAATAATTTTTTAATATCTATCGAGTTCATGTATTGCACACTGTTTATTGTGTAATACACTTATATTATGCAAAAGTCAGCGAAACCTGTGATCACACCATGTACAACCGACACGCTATATTCGATAGATTATTCCGCTCACATTCGAAAAAGATTTGTAGTAGTGCCAGTCGAATGTTCTACGAACATACCCTGCCGGAAATAATTGTACAAAATTCTACAAAAAAATTAAATATAACTGCCAGAATCGAAGAAACTCTACGTAAATTTTAAGTGTTACAAAAATCAACATAAAAATGCTAGAATTGGAACACTTTTGTTAATTTTTGTAATATTCTACAAGTAATTAGCAGATGTTTTAATTCTTTAAGACTTCGTTGTTTCTCAAATGTTTCAAACTAGTAAAGTTTTGCACTAATTTTTACAAAATTGTACCTACATTTTCATGAAATACTACTTGCAATAATTTCCTGATTTGAGAACATTGTAACTTGTGATACTAATAGATATTTTTACAAAGAAACAAATGTTTCAACGAAGATATAAAAATTTCTACAAATTTCCATTTCGAGTCAATTTTTCGTAGTTATCTATATAAATGTTTTCCGCTAGGGTAAGATAAACATATAAGAATGCCGCGTGGAATGTTCCAAATATTCCCGAAGAATATTCTTAAAACCTTCGCGGGAGTGTCTTGTGCTGGGAGTCGCCTTTTCCGCGGCCGTTGACAATAGAATAAACCGCGGGATCGATGAGAGAGTCGACGAGCGTAGGCCGCGCGTCCGCGGGTATCGCGCGCCATGGCCGCCCGGACGCACGTGCGGCGCGTCAGGCTGCTGTACAAGACGATTTTGAGGTTACACCGCGGCCTGCCGGCCGAGGTGCGGCCGCTGGGCGACGGCTACGTCCGCGACGAGTTCCGGAGGCACAAGGGATGCGTGGAGAGCGAGGCGATCGTCTTCCTCCGCGAGTGGACCGTGAGTAGACGAGGGTCGCGCGCGCGCGCGCCGCCAGTCGCGGGCTTCGAGGTTATGTTCGCTCGCGGAGGTGACGTGGGTGCAATAGTGACTTCTTTCTCCGTAGAACTACGCGGTGTCCCTCGCCGAGCAGCTCGGGCTGAGGGGCCCGCACACGGGACGGCCGCTCGGACGATACCTGGGCGAGGAGGAGCTCGAGAAGCTGCGGGACGAGCAGGTGTGCCAGCTGTACGAGCTGATGATCGCGGCGTCGGGACGGCCGAGCACGCCCGGGGAACCGTAGGCCGACCGGAGCGATCTCGCCGACGCGCTCCGAATATCCCGTCTGCGAGACGCAATTTCCCCGGTTTCCTCCCCGCGTCTCGCAATCAGATCGACGACAATTTCGCCGAGGGCGAACGGAGCAGTGTAGTGTACGACAGTTAATATAAGCGGTAATAAAATTGTAGGAAACGACGAGCTGCTTGTACGTTGATTGTCGTCGGATCTCGGTGATGGATAAAAGTGATTAGCGACAATTTCTTTGTAAACGCGGAATAAACGTGATAAAGAGATCGTTTGACGAGGAGGCAGCGTGGCAGGTTCTTCCAGATCCGAGTCGCGAGCCCGGTGAACATTAACGGTTTCGTAACGTCAATATTATAATTTCCTACTTAACGATGCGAACTGCGAACAGTGTCACGTTGATGTTCTTGAGCGGAAAGTTTTAGTACCGGCGTTACGTAACTGTTGGCTGGCATTTAGCTGGGAGCCGAATTTGGTTATCGCGCATCGACGCAAGTTATCGCCACGACGTTCGATTGTGCCCGATAACGATATTGCTCGGCAGAATCGGGACTAGACCTTTAGTGAACGAAAGTATTTCTTCTACGGCATAGAAAATAATAAGAGTAATTTTAACCAGTTGCATTTAACATATTAATATTAATTTTGTTGCAACAATTGCCATTGATATTAATTCTTTAAAGCGATTGCCGTCCCTAATCTGTTATCGCGCAAGTGCCTCGTTCGCTAGGACTCTAGTCCCGGCTCTGTTGTTCGGGCGGAGGCGGATTTCCGTTTCGTCATTCGCGGACCGGCAGTGATCGACGTCTCCGCGTCGCGCGCGCAAGTGAAATCCCCGAGAGCTCGAGGAGAAGATGAAGGCCTGGCAGGAAGCGGCGAGCTTGATGTTGGCGGCACGCCATGGTCGCGCGGTGTCGCCCGCAGTCGTAAGTGCGTGCGAGCCAACGTGCACGCGTGTACGCGTTGCGTACCGCTCCGGTCTCCGCGCGACGCCTTCTCGCGGCGTGAGGGAGGTCGACCGGACGACACGGCGACATACGCGCTTTTTCTCTCGATCACCCAGTTTTCCGACGTTCACTGCCAGGTGACGGGGCCAGTTGCGTAGCTTGCAGTGTACCTGCTTCGGCAGTACATGTAGTAAAATTGGAACGACACAAGGAAGATTGGCCCCTGCGCAAGGATGACACGCAAAACCGTGAAGCGTTCCACATTTTTTCCGAGGGGAAAAACGCCTAGTGCCGTATCCCCCCGCGTCTCGCACATCGCAGGGAAGGCCATCGCGGTGGTTTTAGCGGACTAATTCGGCACCGCATAAACCGGCTCTTCCCCCGAAGAGTCGGGTATCCGAAGGGATTTCCACTATGTAAAAAAAAGTTTACAATGCGGTAAAAGTGCTAGGGCGGCATACGCAGATCTTACATTTAAGATTGTCTGAAGAGCTTCAGATACTTCGTAGCCAATGAAAATGTTCCGCGCAGATAAGTTTAAGATCTTATTATGAGCACCGGCTTAAAAATGGAGTAGCTTCGCGTCTTTCCAACTGTCCCCTTAGGGCCGGTTGTTCCAACCTCCTGGTAAGTTAACTAATAGTTAAATCATATATGTCTTTGTTTTCTCTTCAAATTAAAGAAAGATAGACGTAATTTAACTATTAATTAGCTTACCATGAGGTTGGAAAAACTGGCTCTTAGAAAGAGACAAAGCCGGTGACTCTTAGCATTTTCACTACATTGCAAGATACACAATTGACCCCCAAAGAATCTTTTCCTCTAACGTGAATCCGTGAAAAGTTTCATTGACGGAGATTGAATTCGTCAGTAAGATCGTTCACGAGTTCACGCCAGCGGAGAAGATTCATGATCGAGCCAGTACTGAAAATCTACAATTCACGTCGCGTACGCTGTGCACTCTCAGTTTACTGGCAGTGAATATTGGAGCGCGGCCGCTGTCGACTCGCGAAGTGCAAGCACGCGTGCACGTGGCTCTCGTTTCGACGTCCATCGAGGAGGCGACGATTCGGGCGACTATACAGGCCGCGACCGCTCATGATTTCAGCACAATTACGAGCTGCTGTGCCTGAAGCGTCACCAGAAGTCGAGCTTCATGCCGGGGCTGTACGTGTTCCCGGGCGGCACGGTGGACCCGGCTGACGCGAGCCTCAAGTGGCGCGAGCACCTCGCCGCCTTCGGCCTGGGCGACGACAGGCTCGCGTCTCTGGTGCCGAAGGCCGCGTCGCGGCCGCAGATCTTTCGCCCGCCGACGGACGGCGAGCTGCTCAGGGAGGTCTCGCTGCGCGTCACGGCGATTCGCGAGACCTTCGAGGAGTGCGGGATCCTGATATGCCGGCGCGACGTGGACGACTCACCCTCCGGCTGGGCCCAGCACGTGTCAGGTAGACGAGAAATCGGCGCGGAATTGGCGAATCGATTTGCCGATCGCGAGGTGGGGTGTAACGCCGGTATCGGGACGGTTTTCAGTTCCCGGGGGCGAGCTGCGGACGTGGCAGGAGAGGGTCCACAATAACGCGACGGAGTTCCTCGAGCTCTGCCGCAGGCTGGAGTGCTACCCGGATCTATGGGCGCTGCACGAGTGGCGGAACTGGCTGACGCCCACGACCGTGTACGAGAAGCGCTTCGACACCGCCTTCTACCTCACCTGCATGCCCCGCGTGCCGCACGCCGAGTACGATGCCGTGGAGATGGAGGATCTGAAAGTGAGATACTTTTAGAGAAACGACGGACTCGCGCGAGAGCCTGAACTAATTGGAAAACGAATTTAGTGGGAGACCCCGGCGCGGTTCACCACGACGGGCGTCACGCTTCCGCCGCCGCAGCAGATCGAGATCGCCTGGTTGACCAGGATCAAGAATATCGACGATCTCCTGAACGTTGCCGTGCAGCGCAGTCGTGAAGGCGCGAAGCTGTACATGCCGGTACGCAGATCGAGTCGTTCCATCGCTACGGATCGCGCATCATGACTTTGTGCGGCCGAGTCGGATCTAATCCTTTCACGTTCGAACTCGAGTCAATCTTTCCCGGGCTCATTGCACGTCGATTCGGCAACGACTGCTTTCCCTTCAAACTTCGGTGATCCGATTCGAAGCGACTCGCACACTTGTAGTCGCAAATGACCGCGAGAAAACGTGTAATATCGTCCAAATGTATGGTACTTTCAGGTGCGCGTACAATTGAAGGACGGCGTCATGCACCTGCTACCCGGCGACACGATGTACCCGAGGGAACTCAGCCTGTTGGAGAAGAAGGATATCGACATGTCCGACATCACCATGGGTGAATTCGAGAGGAGGACCGCGGTGAAGAACAGACTGGAATTCCTCGACACGCACGTCAATGTAATCTTCACGGGCGAGGACGGCAAGGACGAGCGCGTGGAATTTTCGATGCCCGGTTACTTCAAGAAAGCGTACGGAAACACGAAGGAATAAAGGCGGACTCCGGCGCGTGAACAATAGCAGAAATATTCCAAGTATTTTTGTACGTCGGGGAAATTGTCGAAAAGGTTTCGGTGCGGCGACAGTGCACAAATGATCGCCGTTGTATTTTTGTAATACACTTTTATCTAATAAATTGTTAATGTAAACACGCGAATGTGTCGCCATCGGCGCTTTATCGCGCGACGAACCCATTACCTGATAACTTCTCGGAGCAGGCGGAGTATACGTCCGCGAGGTGCGCAACGCGTATCAAAGATGGCGGCTGGAAATTTGTGGACGGAGCTTACGAAGCTCTCTAGCGACTTTCGCGCGAGACTTATTGTTGGCGCGCAGTGTTTGCTGTTATCTAAATAAAATTATATAGATGATTATCTAGATAAAATTTTAGCGTTATCTTATCTTTATATAGATAATATAAATAAGCATTATCTATATCTGCATCTTAGATGAAAGTGTTATCTTTACTAAATTATCTAAGATAATGTACAGATAATTTCGTTTAGGGCCACATAAAAATACTTAACAGTTACACTGTTTAAATATGGATGGCGTTGTAGACCATTTATGTGTGTGTCATATAACCTAACCTGAATATATTCTATATCCCCCTTTATAATTTAAATTTTTCTATAATTTTTTTATAACTTTTTCTACTG